TATTTGATGGACCAACGTTTGACCACTATCTCGGTTGTCGATGATGCGGTCTACGATGCTAGTCATATAATGCCACATTCAGAGTAAATAGTTATGTGTCCAAACATTTACATTACCTTCTTACATTTTTATCCAAGTTCCTATATTTAGCTAGTAAAAAATAAATCAAATATAAATGAATTGGAACAATTGAAAACGTTGTCACAAAATGATATTTCATCTACATTATCTTTTCCACAACTAAACGAAGTAACTACTATCACTTAAAACATCAACATTCAACCAGGGCAACTATTACTAACTAGAAATTAAAATTGACCTATCAATATCGCATAACTTCGTTCAATTTCAATGCAGAACAACAAAGAGTTCTTGCTCTTTGTGCTGTCCGGTGCAGACGGTACGCTAACGACACGACAACGATGCGACAACGACCCGACAACGGGAGGAAATTACGCGACGACACCGCACCGACTGATTGAATGCTTTGGAACTTTGTGTTGTTTAGATTTGTAGTTACGAGGCTCTGATATGTTAGACGAGTTATGGTTAGACTTATTGGATACTTATTTGCTGGATTTTTTTCAAATGTTTTTTTCAAATGTAGCTTTGGTGGTGTAGTTTAGTCTCCAGTTAAGAGACAGTTTTTTGGGATCCCATTTCTGAGAACTGCCCAAAATATATCTCTTAATAAGTTACGATATTTTTCACTTAAAACTATGTGCCTCATTGGTTCTGGAAAACACCTTTAATTTTCTAGACAGGTGACACTCGATACAAACACACAAAAATGACCCTAACGTACACAAACAAAACAGAGCTTTGCAAATATAAACGGTATCTCCCACCAAGTAGTAAGTCAACAGTAACTTTGGTTATTGCAAAACTGACGTTATCGACACTGGATTACCAACATCTGCTATTGATTGATCACGTGATAACAACTGATAACAACCCGATTACATATAAGTTACCGTGTAACAGTTTAGCGTGAATTGAAAATATTTATCGATTGATTTGTTAATGATTTGAGTAAATGAGATTAAGCCGTTAGTTTGCAGTTTTCAGGCGATTGTTTTGATGGATTAATATTGAAATCACGAAATGAAATTGTTGAGATATTTAATATCTTATCGATTTCCAAGAAAAAGGTCGTGGGCTTCAATCGAGCAAAACAAACGCAAGGTTAATAAGTACTTTTCTCCTCTTTGATAATTTCATAGTACCTACAGCGCACAGTCCAAATATATGCCTAGTGTATGCTAATTATCTCATCCTTTTCCCCAGCATGGGTCTCACCACATAACTGATAAAAGGTTTTAAAAAAAAACATTGTCTTATACTAGGATTTTCTCGTGTATCGCGGGTACATTGACAAACATGTTTACATAGATACGTGGAGTTGTAAATGTGCACGTTTGCCTGTGGATTGCCGGGCAAAGCATGATGTTTTCTAATTATTTATGTTAAAAATGAGAAATCGTAAGAAACATTAATGTTCATTAACGATTTTTACTTGGGCACATAGTACTGTTATAGAAAACTTCGTCCACTGACTAAACACAAGTTCAATAATAACTTTGATTAAAGAAAGTTATTTCAAGATATCTTTACAATTTACCTTTTACAAATCAACTGTAAAAATTGCACTACAAAACTAGGCAACTTAAAATACACTTTATGATTAAGAAAATAAAGTTTGAAATACGATATTAAGTTGTAGCTATCAAAGTATCGACCCATTTCGTCGACAATCGATAAAATCAAGAATCGAATCAAGAAGGTTTTGTTAAGAAACGGTTTAGTTAACGTTGTCATTCGGTGCACAATTGTAATCGTTAATCGGTAATCAGTAATCATATCGGTTTCACGGCGATTTTGGTGAAATTGATCCATTGTTTCGTCAGAAATTCTTTGTGGCTAACGTTTGTCTGTGACGAATCGTAGAAAAAGTTTAAAACTATTTTTCAAGTTGAATAGTTGAACTGTTGTTAAAGTAATTGAAGAGACAACGCTAAGGCAGACAGATGACCGTTAATAAGGTCGTTATAAGTAACTGTAACTAGAAATCATAATTAAAGACATTTGTCATTGGGTAATTTATGCTGATTTTTGACAGTTCTTAAAGAAATTTAATAGAAATGAATGTTCATACTTTGATTTTGACGCAAACCGTGCTCTCTTGTGCGACACTACATAAATTAGTATTACTTTTGAGTTGTCTCTTATTTAACACGAGTAAGTACTAGCCATAAATTATGGTTACTGAAAAAAATATAAAAAAAATAGTAGTTAAAAAGAAAATCGGTTTGAGCTCGTGTCACCAAACACAACCCTAAAAATAATTACCGAGCATCCATACCGATTCATTATCCCCTATAATTCACAGACAATGCGGTAAAGGGGTGGCTTCATTAAAATTCACGTTCATAGAGCGAATCAGAGTCACCTGCAGATACCCAGCGGCCTATCACTTCCTTTGATCAATTGGCTGGCACATACGGATCGGGAATAGGGATGGGCGCGAGTATAGTCCCACTGGGACAAACCCAAACAGGACGAAACCCCGGGATTATGATAAAGTTGTTTATTTACCTGAAACTGACAGAAATCTGTGATATTTGCGTAGTAAAAAAACCCAAGATTACGGGAATCCCGATTGAAGCTTATTTTTACAATCAGTCATAATATCTAATTATAAATACGTTCCAAAAATATTTTGCGTAATAAGATAATTGTGAGATAATAAGTCCAAAATTAGAAATGAATCCGTTTATAAACCTTTTATCAGTTGATTTTTTCTTATTTGAACATGTTTTTATGATTGATTAATACCATTATCCTATTTTAAATGAAATTGATAGTAGATTAAGCTATTTTTGTTGGGCCACGCGCCGAGCGCATGAATGAAAGAATTTATTGTGAAGTTATAATTAGCGTTGTGTAATTTATATTCGAAGTTGTACTTGATTATAGTGATAAGTCAAAACATACTACGCAGAATTTTTTGAATACCGAAACTTCTAAACAATGCTTTACACAACCTGAAGTAGTCAAAGAATTGCCAATCGCAGGTTCAGTACAAAAATTGTTAATGGTAACAACTCTCAAAAATATCATCCCGCGCCCCTTATATCTACGGCCCCGCGTCCCGGGACGATTGAGCCCACCACTAGCCACAGTGCAGACCGCCGCGGGCGTTTCGTCCGCAACCGCATCTTTGGCGTCCGGCACCGGATTGACACGTTGCGTTTTAATCAATTAGCGTACAGAAACGCGGTTCACGAATCAGTGGGCAGTGAAATAAGCGGACCGGCCACCGCGGCGCCAATTCGGCTATCCGGTTTCAAATACGTTTTTTTCCCCAGATGCGTTTTTTGGACGAACGATAACTTCATAATCTGTAGTTTTTTTGTCGATTTTCGTTACGGTCAAACGGGCGCTTTGTTTTAGATAGATGTTCTTTTTAGCTTTCGATGCTGTCTCAGTCTTTTTGGGAACTTCTATAGTATCGTAAAGATATTATAATGTTACGGAAAAGGATTTCATAATTGTTTTGTTTACTGAAACTATAATTCCAACTGCATCTTTTGAATTAAAATTAATCTATATTATATTAATTTGTATCTACAAACGTATGGGCTGTAAAATGAGCAAAGAAAACATTACAAAGGCATACTTACAACAATGATCATATTATTCTAATTAAAATGATATCATATAATTTGTTACGATAATAAATAATAAGTGATAATTATGAGCCAACTATATAACCTTTAGTTATACATACATTACTATTTTTTGTCTTTGTACAAAATTGTTTAATCTGATTGACCAGTGGAATTTTTGAACTAATCTTTTTTGATAACTTGCACCCTTCTGTGTTAGGTTTGAGCCAGTCCATTATATTGGAATATTACCCTTTTCCAGTATTCGTGTTAATTACTTATAAAATATTTGAATTTCAATTTTTCTTAACTCAGTAATCGAAACAAAGACCTTGTGCCATATACTCAACCTTACAGAGAACAACAACGCAGTATGACGCAGTAGAACTTGATTGATGTCATAAAATTCGGATAGCAACACTAATTGCAGTAAATAATCAATTAAAATACGCATTACTATCTCGCACCAATCAGGCAGCACTATCTATGATTTAACAAAATGTTTAACTCGGCAAAGCACCCGTCATAAACTCACTATCTCCTAATAATTCGGTGACTCCTTCAAAATTTGATAAAAAACCCATATCTCCGTACCGGTATTCAATTTATCGTGATTATCGTTCTAAATTATGTCAACAGATACGCTTTGAATAATTGATCCGTCTATGGCCAGCCTAGTCGAAGCAATCAATCAATTATCGATCACATGGTTTTGCGCAACGAACGATGGCCCCATTACAATTCTGTTTTTCCTCATATTATCATTTTTAATATCTATCCTATCACCGATTATTACATTTAGATGATGAACGATCGCAATAAAGCGATATACTTTTATCTGTTCCCTTTTAAATCAACCTAAATACGGTTTTAAAATGTCTTTATTATCATGATTAATTTGTCAGTTGGTGTTTTGTTTTCAATATTAATTAGCTATATCATTGGTTGTGTCACGCTTGTTTGCTGTAGGATTTTTCCATTTAGCTAACATGACAACTGAAGTCTGTATTGCGATATGATTGCATGTTTATTGATGTATAATGGCTTATTCTGATATGGCTTTGTCATGAGTTTTCCTTATTGACGCTAGACTTATCAAGGCTTTGCACAAGTTAGGTACCTTAGTAGTATATTTACATAAATGACAAAATATGTACATTTTTAGAGATAAAGAGTGTAAGTGACCTGAAATGATTTATTGATTCTTTGGTAGGTATGTTGACCAAAGCCTGATTTCGATAAGCAATGTGATTGCAATTAGATTAGAAGATTAACAGGACTACTGAACTGAAGTGAAACCTATTCTTATCGTATCTTCTCATTTGTCTACAGAAGAAGCCAACAGTCCAGAAAGCGGAGTGAAGGAGCGAAGTGATAGGGGGGAGAGGCAGGAGGGCGGAGAAGGCGAAGCATCAGGCTCCGCGTCTCCTGCATCCCGCACCTCCCCCGCACCTGACGAACGAGACGACATTGAGCACAGTATACCAGCTACCCTGATCCAGGATCCCAATGCTGAAAGGTAAATTTCTATAGATCTCATGAACCATATTACGGCTCTATAGAGTCCTGAAAATAGAGGTAATAATGAAGTGCCAATTGTGATGTCGAACATTATGGTATAATTTTTTCTAACACATTTGAAACCATTAGCCAGACAACTAATAGTTAAATCGTTTCTGCACATCATTAATTTCCAAGTCTCCAAACGTAATGAAACTACTGACGTGATCTTTACAATTAGAACGGTCACGTTCATCATTGTGTTGAAGGTAATAAACCTGACAGTGATATATTTAAGTCTGATATCACACAGAAGTGCAATTCACTACAAATCTGCATTACGTACAATGCAAATCTTGTAGATACAATCCTTTTCCATACAACACCTCAAGGTTTTTATGTAAATTAAACCATCAAGAACATTATCTCGGATCCAAACCCCATTCATAATACCATATGCCATTGTCAACGCGGAGGTCCGCACATCACTCTATGGTGTCCACTTTAATGATCCCATTGTTTCCACTGATCAGTTGACAACGACTGTCCACTGACATCACTACTAGTTCAACCAACTTTAGTTTACTGCCACCGAAACTCTTATTGCAAAGCCTATAAAGGTTCAAGTTCAATAAGTTACTAACAAAATTATTACGTTCAGATAGAGGACTGAAAAATTTAACGTGCAGTTAAAGTAAGTTCTGTTGGTGAGAATTAAAGTCGATTTTTGAGTGTTAGATGATAAAAATAACTGGTAGAGATTATAGAAATGAATGGACCGACTGTGACAGTTATAGTGGGTAGAACTACTAAAAATGATCTGAATTTTCAAAATGACGTTCCATCAATTTTCATTTTGGATGTATCGATCTTAGTTTGTTTGATTGATGGGTCTCTGTTGCACCATAAGCCACTACTTGAGCTTGGTGACTTTATTTCATTGCATGACCAAGGTGAACTAATATAACCAATGCAGCTCTTGATATGAACGTTGAACTTGGTCCTGACTTAGGTACTGAGTTTATTATTTTGAACCCACTTAATATAATATTTTTGTAAATACGTATATAGTTTTGAGTTGTATTACTTTAGTAGTTTGAAGGCTAATATTTGCCTATCACTATAAATCACTTACAGCTAGATATATAAAATTGCATTGGGGTATGACCTGTGTAGTACAAATTATAAAATGTTGTTCATCGATAACAGTCTAGTGAAGCTACGTACATAGTTGTAGCCTTAGTCCTTTAAATGTTAATGAATAATTGTGGTTTAATTTAGTTTTTACTTGACTTGAGTGAGAGCTGTTACTTATAAATCTAAAGCTGTACTTAATAAAGTCAAAACGTAAGATATTTGAATGAAGTGACATTTATTTATTGCTCTTATAGTTGAATGTACTTTGATTTGGACAACCCACCTACTTACAATTTACAATCAATTGTCCAATTTTCCCAAATTATTACCTTGAATTGACCTCCACATTGTTTGAATTATCTGTTCTATTAGCCACAGATACTCTTATCAAAAGTGTACTGTTGTATTAGTATTGTATCGACATAAAAATTAACGATATTTATTGGTATTAATACATGATTGATATTTTGATTGGTTTAATTAATCATCACGCGGAGGCTATTAGGAGATTTTTATCTGAGGCGGATGCGTTTTGTAGCTGCGTGATGTAGTAACCTCTGTTGGATTGGTTATATTTTAATTGTATGTAGGTATTATATTTAGCTACACTAGTTTTTGATTATACTATTAGTCTGATGTAGATCAAACTATTGAAATAGATCAGCCACTTTTTTTGTGTTAAAGGGTGCCTAGGAATCCAAAACTTAAAGTCAAACTTGTAGTTCTGGATTATATAGCCATTAACATGAACATACAATGGGCGAAACAGGAAGCTACCTGTAATAATATTGGTTCAAAAATACAAAGTAGTGAAGAGTCTTTTGAGCAGACAACATATGAGTTAAAAACAACAATAAATAATAAGCAAGAGACTTTGTATTATAAATATAATAGAATAAATAGTACCATACAACACGGTACCGGGAACAAAAGAAATAATCGGACACCACAAGACGTCACATCACTCGATTAACAATAAGAATAATATCGATTATTTACACACACGTCTCGATTACAAGTTGATTTATTTTGTTATGTTTCGAATCGTTAATCAGATTGAGCGCGAATCGTATCCAATCGATATGTGGACAGCTGCAACTTGATTCATTTCATTATTTAATTAGATGTATTGACGTAATTATATTTAATTTGCCAAAAGATATACCAACATTCGATGATCGTATGATTTGGAAAGTTATCGATGATGTCGTATCTTCCAGTGATATTTTTTATTTTTAAGTGTCATGCTTTTTTGTAAAATTTTATTTTGATAGTTTCATCTCCTGTAGAAAGGTCCATTCATTTAACGTCTCACAAAAACTTATGTTTGTCAAAAGTCAAAATTGTCGCTGAAACAAACTTAAGGACATCATTAACATGTTAATTGTATTAGAAATCTTTTATTTCAAATCTTTATCTTTCAACCGTCCAGGTACTATTAACAAACAATTCAAGTACACTTTAAAAATGTAAAGTTAAATTAATTTGAGCTTTATGGTGAGAGTAATAAGGCGAATAAAGTTTTAGTAAAGTGAACGGTAAAGTTTGTCTTGTAGCAAGTCTGTTCAATCAATGTCAATTAGCTGCACTGAGGTGGCGTGATCAATCATTTTGAGGTACTAGTGCCTTGAAGTTCTATTGTTTAGATTTTAGATCTACTGATTTAGTTCGTGTATTCGCTAAAATGTATAAAAATATGAGTTCCGGTGGGAATCGAGGGAAACATTGCTTGAGTCATTTTGATTGAGTGCTCTGGAATTAGAAGTTGTATTTTTAATATCATCATTGTTAAGTGAATCTGTATCTTCTTGCATTCCTTTAAATTTGGTTAATACACCAAAGGACTGAATGCACTATATTATGTTATTTATTTTCGTTCCCTCAATTCTGTATTCACATTTTGTGTATGTATCGTCAAAAAGGTTTCCACAGCTTTTTGGTAGTATCATTGAATTTGGAATGATATTGAATCTACATTAGTGACAGACAACTCCAACATACACAATAGTACTTTTTTTTTTTTTTTTTTTTTTTTTTTTTTTTTTTTTTTTT